TTGTATGGTTTCAGCTGCTGATACTGAGTCATTTGAGAACCCCACTACATCTAAGCCCAAAAAAGAAGGTCCCCTTCTGGTACCACAGATGTCTTTTAAAAAGACCTCTTTCACTGTTTTGGTGCCCAATGACCTCATTTTTCTGCTTCTTTTAGGACTAGGATTTATCTGCTGAATGATAATATCATTGATATTTTTGTGTTTGAGGATTTTTTTTTAATCTAGTTTTCCTTAGTGAGGTTAAGAGAGGTATGACAGTCTCTTTTGAAAAGTCTATTACAGATTCTGTGCACCTAGGACAATGTGATATAGTGAAGAGTCTCAGGCAGTACATTTATTAAATGATTATAGGCTATAAGATATACAGTTACCACTCACTTTTCAAAAGTTCACATTAGACCACTTCACTTTTATGAATGACCTATGTTAGTACCTGTTTTCGATAACCAAAGGAGATCTGAAGATTTTCACTTCTACCAAAAAAAAAAAAAAGTGAAAAGTGAAAATGGCATTCAGTGTTTGTTTTTCAGTGAGCTTTTACAGAAGCAGCATGCACACCGAACAGTGAGAGTTGCCCTGCCAAGTTCCCTGATAACTATGCTAAAATTTAGATAATATTTATCCTAGAGAAAGCTCATATTTATTGAGGCCTTACTATATGCCTCCCACTATTCTTAGTACTTTAAGTGTATTGGCTCATTTGATAATGACACCAGCTTTAAGATGCCAATGCTACTACTATTATTGACTCCACTTTATAGATGGGTACAATGAGGTTCAGAAATCCTCAGATACGTTAGGTAACTTGCTGCAAGTCACACAATAAAGAGAGGAAGAGCAGCATTTTTAAAAAAAGATTTATTTTTTCATGAGGGACACAGAAAGAGAGAAAGGCAGAGACACAGGCAGAGGGAGAAGCAGGCTCCATGCATGGAGCCTGAAGTGGGCCTTGATCCCAGGTCTCCAGGATCAGGCCCTGGGCTGAAGGCAGCACTAAACCGCTGAGCCACCCAGGCTGCCCCAAGAGCAGCTTTTTAAACCCAGGAAATCTAGCACCAGAAACCAACACTTTTAACTACTGTGGTATAATGTCTGTATAATTTACAAGCTCATGACAGGTGAGGAGCAAATGAATCAATGTATATAAAAACACTTTTGTAAATTGTAAGGCACAATGCACTACTGTGACTTGTAGTGGACAATCAATAAATGGCTTAGGTGAATTATTTGGTGGCACAAAAAGTATTTACACTTACATTCTAATGATCCTTGATACTTTCCAAAGTACTTTCACATATTTGATCCTTTTGGATAATAAGCCACTTTAAAAAATATTTTATTTATTTATTCATGAGAGGCACACACACACACACACACACAGAGGCAGAGACACAGGTAGAGGGAGAAGCCGGCTCCATGCAGGGAGCCAGAGGTGGGACTCTATTCTGGGTCTCCAGGATCACGCCCTGGGCGGAAGGCGGTGCTAAACCACTGAGCAACCCAGCCTGCCAATAAGCCACTTTGAATCCATTTTCGAACAAGGCTAGTCATAAATAAATATTGGACAGCTGAAGTAACACCTTGCTTAGAGCATGAAGTTAGTAACCCAGCCAGGATTGGCATGTGAATGGTCTGACTCCTGGCTGATGCCTCTTTAGTTTTTGTATTTTGTTATTATTTGTTAAATTTGATACATGAGTTATCAATAGTAAACAAAACTATAAAAATAATTATCTTTTCTCCCAGCATTCTTTCTTCCTAAAAGTTTTGTTAATTCCTTCAGGATGTTGCTGTATAAAAACAAAATCTCCTGGGGTGCCTGGCTGGCTCAGTCAGAAGAGCATGTGACTCTTCATCTCAGGGTTGTGAGTTCCAGCCCCATACTGGGTATACAGTTTTACTAAAATAATAACTTTAAAATAAATAAAACAAAGATCTCCTTAGCATTTGGATCTATAAAACTTGATTATAAGAACTTTTTAAAAAAAAGTATGCCTTTTTTCCCACAAAAAGTATGTTCATTGCAAAAACAAAACATAATAAAGTAAAAATCCTCCATAATCCTACCATCCAAAGGTAGCCATTTTCACATTTTACTTTTATCCTTCAACTTTTTTCTGTGTATATATACACTGTAAGAAAAAAAGATTTTATTTATTTATTTGACAGAGAGAGAGAGAGCACAAGCACAAGCAGAGAAAGTAACAGGCAGAGGGAGAGGGAAAAGTGGGCTCCCCACTAAGCAGTGAGCTGGATTCCAGGATGGAGCCTGGGATCATGACCTGAGCCAAAGGCAGAAGCTTAACTGACCCAGGCACGCCTATATACACTTTTTACAATATTATTATATATTAACATATATAATATACAATATAATGTAAAATAAATTTACAATATTGTACTATTATCATTTATTATATTGTATCATATATTATAATATTAAATATAAAATACAAATAATAAAATATTAAAATAATACAAATATTGAAATGTTTATATAATAAAATAAATTTACATTATTATAATATAATTATTATATGAAATATATATAATATAAATATAATGTTTTCTAATATGTTGTATCATGATAATAAAAATAGAGCTATAGCTTCATTTTTATTGGCAGCATAGCATTCTATTTTATTGACGTGCTATAATTTATCTGATAGTAAGAATTATGCTTAACTAGATGCATAGTAAGTCTTCCCTAACTTTAATGGCTAACCACAGAAACCAAAGCTCTTAGGATAATGGTGACCATGCTAATATACTGGGTCAATTGCTTTAATTTTTCAGTTGGAGTTTGGTAATTATAAAGATAAACATAATTAAAAAGATACATGAAGGGGAGATATATGACTTGGCATGGTACTAGAAAAGTTCCTTCCTCTTTCTTAAGAAGATAATTTTTCTTTTGTGGTTTGCAGTGGCAAACACTTGAATTATACCTCTGAGCAAATTTCTGTGACGTTGCAAACAAAACATTTCAACTACTTTGCAACCTGCAAACTCCTTATTCTCATGGGAGCCCCAAGCTGTTTTTTCTTTTTAAAAATTTTTTATTTATTCATGAGAGAGAGGCAGAGACACAGGCAGAGGGAGAAGCAGGCTCCATGCAGGGAGCCTGAGGGGGGGCTCGATCCAGAGAGTCCAGGGTCACACCCTGGGCGGAAGGCAGGCGCTAAACTGCTGAGCCACCCAGAGATCCCCAGCCCCAAGCTGTTCTTAATGTGTGTTCAAGTCTAGCTATACTTCAGAGGAATATGCTTTGTCACATTATGTTCTAGTTTATTTACTTATTTTTTTTAAAACATTTTATTTCTTTATTCTTAGGCAAACAGAGACAGAGGCAGAGACACAGGCAGAGGGAGAAGCAGGCTCCATGCCGGGAGCCCCACGTGGGACTCGATCCCGGGTCTCCAGGATCACACCCCAGGCTGCAGGCGGCGCCAAACCGCTGCGCCACCAGGGCTGCCCATGTCCTAGTTTTTTTAAAAAAACATTTTATTTATTTATTCATGAGAGACAGAGAGAGAGGCAGAGACATAGGCAGAGGGAGAAGCAGGCTCCATGCAGGCAGCTGGATGTAGGACTCAATCCCAGGACCCCAGGATCACCATCTGAGCCAACGGCAGATGCTCAACCACTGAACTTCCCAGGGGCCCCGTCATGTTCTAGTTCCATGCTACTGCTTAGTAGTTGCGTGATCCAAGGCTGCATTGGACAGTAGTGCACTGCAGGGTAGGAGGCAACTGAATTCCATAAGCATTCTGTTCCTCAGATCATTTCCATTTGGGCTGATTCCCCCCTGAGTGTGAGTGTGAGTGTGGGTGGGTAGGTGTGTACCCTTTTCTAATTCAGGAGGTGGCACTGAACAGCAGAATCCCAAAGTGGGAGGGGAGAAGGAGGGTCTTGCAGTAAGCAATAGTTTGTGACTCTCAATCTCCTTACTTGTGAAACTAAGTTAGTTATGCTTGTTTAGTCTGATTCAGGAGATTGGTGGGAGGGTCAAATTAGATTACACAAGGAAGATGCTTTTATAAAAAATATGATATGAATATTTGATAATAAAAAAGTGATAATTACTACCATCACGCCCCCAGGGCTTTGTTTCCAGTCACTTTTTAAATCCTAGTAGTTAAGGAGTAAAACTGTACAGGCGGACCTCCTCAGTTCAATTTCTGGAAAATGTTTTGAAATGTCTGCATGAAAGGGCTTGTCGAAGGAAGAGAGTGCAACCTCCTGTCTCTGACAGGTCCTAAACTCCAGATTTATGGTTAGTTGGGTTCTTTTTGGCATCTAGCCAGGTGCTGTGCTTTATTCACTTTCAGGACAACTTTACTGCCAATCTACCTGAAGGATTTTAGTTTAGGTAAGTCACCTTTCCCCCTTAAATGGGCTAGGATAATCATGACCCTCTTTAGCAAGTTCACGTGGAAAATAGTTGTGTCAGGTGTTAGTAATTATTTATCAAGCCAGGAACCGTCTGGGTAGACTCTCTTTGGCTCAGGTCCTTAGCTGATGGAGACACAGTGAGAAAAGCCCAGTCTGGAAGGTTCTAACGATCACTAGTCCAAGTCCTTTGTGTTTACGCACGAGGAAGCTGAAGCCCTGAGAGATTCAATGACTTGTCCTATACACGAGGTTGAGGGCTGGTACTGGGTCTGGGATCCATTCTTCTGTATCACCCTCTAGCTCTTTTTATAAGATACTTTGCAGAGATACCACAAAAGTATAGAACCCAGTACCACTTGGGGCATGTCCCCGAAGTTAGAAAGGTGAGGTCTCAAAACACCGGAGGAAGCAGTTTGGGCTATTTGTGCATTAAGTCCCCGCCCCCCACCTGCCTCGCCCCGCCCACTTCGTCCGCGGTAGTCCCGCCCCCTGTCGGTGGCCCCCGCCGCTTCCTGGTAGCTCAGCCTGCTCCCCCCCCCGCCCCCCGCCAGCGGAACCAATGTTCGGAGGCCTTCCAGGGTCAGCCGGATCTTTCTCGCTCAGACTCTTCGCAGCGGTGACTCGGCAGCAGCGTCTCTCGTCATCAGTGACCGCCCCGTACCTTGCTACGCTTTGCGTCGCTCTGCTAGGAGCAGTCACCTCCTCCATGGCAAATAGTCCTCGGCGGGGTCCGAGTTCTTGGTTAATAGGAGAGGCGAGGTAGAAGAAGTTGCAGCTAGGGAACACGGAATCGACAAGGAGAGGGGGATAGAGACCCAAGTTTCTGCAGTACTGCGTGAAGTTGGTTAGAAACTCCCCGCTTCCTAAGAGGATCCTTCCGCCTGCAGTAGCGGTGGTGAGGCCGAGGGAGCCGCCATTTTGGATGTTCGGTTCCTGCTGCCACTGCTGCCGCCGCCCCCGGAGCTGCTGGTTTCATTCGAGGTTTCGGGCCGGTGAGTGTCACTCGCGGCGCTACGAACAAATTGCTTCTTTTGCCCCGCGCCTGCTGGGAGCGCTCGGCCGGAAGCTTCCTGTCAACACCGGGGGTCCGGTCCTCGGCTTCGGGGAGCGAGAAGAGAGGACAGAGGCTGGCCCAGGAGGGGCGCGGAGTCCCAGGGGCTGCTCCGACTTCTTGAGGGCCGACCCGAGGCCTCGGACCCGGAGGCTCCCCTCGCGGCTGCGTTCGGAGTCGTGGCGCTGCCCGGCCGGTGCGGGCCTCCTCTGGACCCATTGACTTTCTCGGGCTTGGATCCTCTCTTGAGGGCTCGTTCAGGGAGCCCGGGGTTAGCGGGGCGGGTCCCACCCCCGCGTGTCGTCTCCGAGCTACGTATCAGCGTTCTCGTGTCTTGCACTCGGGTCAGGTCTTTCGTAGAACTCTCTAAAGGTCTTCCAGAGGCTCCGTTAGTCGCTGTCTGCCCCGCAGTGCCGGCCCCTCGGAACCGGACGTCGGCCTCGCCTCTCCCTAACCTTCCCACCAACTTCTTTCCCGATTTTCAGGGTCCCTCCCCAACTCCCGAACTCACCCGCGAGTCCCACTGCTTAGCCTTCTCGCAAAGCCCTGACCCTGCGGACGTCAGTTCCTACTAATTCTATCTTCTCGCCTGTCTGGACGAGTCGGGACGATTGCTTATGTTTCCTTGTTAAGGTTTGGTGAAGGCGGTCCATCGGGCCGTTCGCTCGGAGCACACTTGAGCAGTTTTAAAGCTGATTGAATGGCTTTTGGGGAGGGATAGGGAGAAGGCTGTAAGAGGTTTCTCTCCTTTGTGAATTCTCTTCCTGTGCTGAACAGTTGGCTTTTTTTTGGGGGGGGGGGGGAGGGGGTGTTTATTGACGCTTCTGTACTTGTCTTGGTGTTGTATGTCCCGGGGCAGGGAAATTGCCTGAGAAGGAAGGATCTTAATCCGACCTCCGTAGTAAGGGAAGTAACTTTTTTTTTTTTTTTTTTTTGGCTCCTGTCGCGATTAGTTAACAGAAGAGAGGACTGAAGATTTCTTAGTGATCTCAACTTGCAGGTGTTTCGTACGGCAGTGATCTTTGCTGATTCTTAAAAATACTTAGACCTCGTGTGTGGGATTTCTTTTCTTTTTTTTGGGGGGGGGGAGCTCTTTGAATTTTAAATGTTCGCTTCTACTGTTCCCCATAATACTTGTCAGACTATACTATACCCTTAACCTTTTGGCTTAAAAATATAGGCTCTCCAGGTGTCCATAATCTCACCACTTTTATGCTGTTCTTAAAGTATGTTTGCAGTGTAGCGTGCTTGAGTAAAAAGCATTTCACAGTAATTCACGGATTATTTCCTACATTTTAAGTTAGGCGAGTGTGATTGAATCCCCTCTATTTCATCGCAGCCTGGGTTTTAAAATCTGCGAGAGACAAATAATTTAAGATTACAGTCTAGGGACTGCTGAAATTTAAATTTGTAACTTGATGGACTCGATGTAGGGAGTGAAGAGGAAAATGAAAAAAAAAAAAACATAACTTGAATCAAACCTTTTAATACTTCTAAGCCATGTCTAAGTGCATTGTTCTTATCAGGTAGATAAATTCCTGTACTGGTCATATGATGTTTCAATAGAAGACTGAATGTTTTCATTGTAAATAGTGTTCTTGTTTGTTTTAAAGAGACTTTTCAAAAGTATGTTAGTATTTATGTATTTACTCTTGAGATAGGGAATTTCTCTTTTGGTTTGAAGGAACTGTCGAACCCCTGAACGTGTATGGGATACCTAACTCATTTACCAAGTATCCCCATGTAGTTATTGAAATGTTCATTTCTGAGCTATATATATTTTTTTCTGAGTTAAATTTTTTAAAAGGTTATTGGAAGAAATATCAGGTGTTACTCAACTCATTCATTTTGTGTTATAATTATTGGTAGTTAAACGTCGTTCATTCTTGAATGGTTTACATTCAATTGGAGAGTGTCCTTTTGCCTTACAAATTATAAGCAAAGTGCTGTTGATTGCACTGTTGATTAATCACATACTTGAATGTCTATTTTGTCTAACTAAGGTGGTGGGATTATACTTGTAAGAAACATTATTGTTTAGGAAATCTCAATTCATTTTCTTCTGGGAGCAGTTGCTTGTTCCTTGTAGATTTGAGAGTTAATTTTATTTTTTTAGTGAACTCTACCTCCAACTTGGGGCTGGAACTCACAACCCTGAGATCACAACCTGAGCTGAAACCGAGAGTTGGATGCTCAACCAGCTGTGCTACCCAGGCACCCTCAAGTTTTTTGTGATTTATAAAAACTCTTTACATACTGAAAAAGTTGAATATTTTCCAAAAGACTATTTTTAATTAAAAAAAAAAAAGAATTAGGAAACTACATACCAAAACAGATTTTCAAAATGCTTAATCCTCTTACTTGCATTTGATGAGGATTTAAAAATTTTGTGTATAAAGCAGGACTTAACTAATAGAACTTTAAAACTCTTGGATTTAACTTCAGAGACTCTAAAAACTATTACTTTCCCTTTCTGTAAACTGCAACTACTTGTTTAGCTATTTTTGGTCCTTAAAATTCATTAATTCTCAGCTTTATGAATTGTTTAGAGTTCTTGATTTTGGCATTTTCATCTCTGTTATTTTTATTCAGTTTCTTTCATGCAGGATAAGATTTAACAATTATTTTTAAAATTAAGAGAACATATAGATTTGTCTAAGCTCTCATATTTCTTGGCTTCTAGGTTTTCAAAATTGTAACTTTTCAAAAAGTATTAGGATTTTCCCATTTGCTTTTTTTGTATAGAAAATTTTGATTGTGTGAAGGCATTCATTTCTCTCTTGAAAATACATGTAAAGTTTTTTTTTTTCCCCTTCACTGAAGGAGTAACACAAAATAATTTTTTTTTTCAAAACACTTAATTTGGCATGAGTTTTGGTTACTACATAATCTCTTTTCAAAGTTTGAAGAGTCCAGAAGTAAAAGAAACAACAACAAAACTTTACATTTGAGTCAGCATTAACTAACACTTTTTATGTGTAAACAGGACAAGGTTTAAGATAATATGGTTGACACGAGAAATGGTTTTTCACTAGGTACTTGGAGGTTTTGTTTTTTGGCTTACTCACAATTGGAGAGAGAAGATAAGGGATAAATGTTGTCAATGAAAAATAGATTTCAAAGGAAAAAATCATAGTTTTTAAAAAGATGATGGAAACATATGTGACTTTTGTACTTTATAAATAAATGAAGACATTTTAAAGGCAAATAGTTTTTCCCTCCTTTCTCTGTTGATACAGTGCAGCAAAGTGTAACCTGATAGGTAGTTGCTTTGCTCACTCCAGCTTTCTTGTTGGAGCTGATTGTGATTATGTTTTACTGAGCATTGTAGGCTTTTCAGCTTGTTTGGCCTTGAGGTTAATGTTATGGACTTCTGGGAAGAGCAAACATTAGAATGACATGATCTTAGATTTTTGAGGCTGTAAAATCTTTGCACCCCCCTTTTCCTATAAATCTTTGAGTTAAAAATGAGACTGACAAAATAGATGATGTACACTATTGGGTTAAAAGAGCTAGCTTTAGTAAATGATCATATAGTTGTACAACCCAAAAGGAATTCTATTAGTATTTTTACAGCTCATTTTAGTGAAGCTATTTACTAAACCTCACTATTGGGAAATTATTCTGTTTTAAGCTGAAGAAAAGGAAGGGAAGTAATTTTTTAAAATTCCTTTTTAAAGTCTGCACAAAGGATTTGGTGTCCTTCCCACTTTTTGAAATTTTTGAAAACACGATCCTTTTAAAATATACTGAAAATATTGGTTTGAGATGAATAGAGAAACTAAGTGACAATAAAGTTTTTGTAGAAACTAGGTTTTGGGTATGATTTATTGAAGGTAAGCTGTTGTGAGAAGAGCTTTTTTTTTTTCAGATAGTACACTGGATATGTGATTTTTTTTATTTTTTATTTTTAAAGATTCTATTTATTCATGACAGAGAGAGACAGACAGACAGACACAGGCAGAGGGAGAAGCAGGCTCAATGCAGGAGGCCTGATGTGGGACTTGATCCCAGGTCTCCAGGATCGTACTCCAGGCTGAAGGCAGCGCCAAACTGCTGGGCCATCGGGGCTGCCCTGTTTTTTAAACGTGTGTTTGTTTCTACCAGTGGAAGTTGAGCTTTTTATTTTCTTTAGAAACATCCCATGGCAAAAGCATAATAAATGGTGTTGAATATATAAGAAAGTAGAATGAGGAAGTAGCTTACTAGCTTTTAGTTGTTATTTTTATTTACATACACTGAAATTTATTTATTTAAAAAAATTTTAAAGTAAGCTGTCCACCCAGTGTAGGTCTTGAACTCAACAACCTCAAGATCAAGAATCACATGCTCTGTGGAGCCAGCTAGGCGCCTCTATGCACACTAAACTTTTTACTGTTTCTCCAATACTTCATGTTCTTTCATTTTCTTTGTACCTTTTCTGCCTATACCTGGAATGCTTTTCTTTTTTCCCTTCTACCTAGTGAACATGTTCTTCCTTCCTCTTCACCCCCAGGCAAAGGGGTGTACCATTTTAAAGTACTTGAATTGTCTACTTTTCCTTGAACTTTCAGAGGATAAGGACTATTTCATTTTGACATCCGTAGTACATAGCACAGTGCCTGGCCCTTACCTACTCCGTGGAATAGATGATATGAATGAAAATAATATGGGGAAAATGTTCAGGTACTCAGGTATATGATAATTGGTTGGTACCAGAGCCAATAGCAGTCAGGATCCTGAGCTGTGACAAGCTACTGCAAGTCATTTACTTGTGAAGTGCAGAGTTGATGTCAGGGAAGTTTATTTTCAGATTTAGAAAACATAAAACCTTGTGTCTTTGTCCTTGGAAATATTATTTAGATGTTTAACTTTGAAATTGACATCATTCTCTTTGTGATTTACTGGGACTCTTTGTTTTGCAAAAGTTTCAAGTGGCAGCAAAGAAATTAAAAAAAAAAT